TTCCTAAATGCCCAGAATGCACTGAAAACAGTAAAAAATTAACTATTTCAGACATTTTGAGAGAAATAGAGAGAGCAGAAGCAGAGAGAGAGAGCAGTATGTGTTGAGATGACCTGTCTTTTCTGGTTGTATTCACTATGGATCCCATCATGAGCATAATGCGGCACGTTCTACCATTTTTTCCTTCATGCAAAACCTGGAACTGACTGCGCTGGTGTACCGGGACCATTTGAATACATGGAAAACGCTTTGCATGCATTTCTGATGATGAAAAAAGGCTCTGGACAGCATCTAGATATGGAACAGTTAAAAAATGCTTCTAAACGCATACGCTTATAAACACGGTTAGCCGCCTTTACAAGTGTTTGGCATTTGAAACGCTGATAAAATCTACTCCTGAACACAAGTTTGGTGCATTCAAAAAAAAACGACTGTAAACTCAACTGCCTGTAAAGGACTGTAAAGGATGATGTGTACATGGACACATAGGAAAACATTAGGGGGAGTTCAGGGGCTGCTGAAAAAAAAACGCAGTAAAGCTCCTGAACGTCAGTTTATCAGCTGCAGTGTACATGAACCCTAAGAATCCGTACGGTATTCCATACATAACCACAAAGTACTTTACATTTTTAGTTCCCTTTTACTCAGCTACAACACATGATATGACACCTGTAATAGACGATGATGAATCTTTAATGGTAAACAAATGATCATACAGAAGTATCAGAATGACAACAAAATGTGATGTATAAGCAAAAACACAATGGCACTAAGTACAAAATACATGAAGATACAAAGCTGTTATATGATAATGACCTTTATGTAATATCATGGTACAAGGAGCTGTGACGTGGCATAAGCCGCAGCAACCAATAGCATTACAGCTTTAAGAGAAGTGTAGGCAGAGTAATGGAAGGTGATTGGCTGCTGTTTAGTGCAATTTACAAACTTGTCTATGCCTTATTCATGTAGAATAAAGTGAAAGTCATTAAAGATCTTTCTTTCCACAAAACAAAAGGTGTGCAAAGCATCACAGTTCATTTTCTTTTTAAAGCAGCCACAGCCGATTAGAAAAGCCTGCTGCAGACAAAGTCCCTTGCTGTATGTGTGACAGTAATGGGCTCTGTGCAGGGGAAGGAAAACACCCCCTGCCAAGTCAGAGCTCTCCAATTAACAAGTTTTATGTTACCTGCTGATTCAAGAACTAGTTGTGACTTGGCAGGGGATGTGTTGGTCCTCTGCAGGGAGACCACTGCTTCCATACAGTGAGCAAGCTGACAGTAAGAATGAGTGTCCTAAAGGCACCCAACCTTCTCCTGTTCTAAGAATTGCTGTGTGGGTGGACTTCAGGTACTTGTGCTAGAAGTACGATAGTTGAAAATTTTTTAAAAGAGTACACAATTCATTAAATGATGTTTTTATCTTAAATCTGCCTGTTCAGCTTTAACATTTGCCCCTCTTGTTATTCAGCTTAGTGGCTCATACAAATATCGTCAGAGAAGCTAAGTGCAGTATGTTATATTAACTCCCAAATAATAATAACTCCCCAATCATTTTTATATATGAAATAATAACTCCCCAATCATTTTTATATATGAAATAATAACTCCCCAGTCATTTTTATATATGAAATAATAACTCCCCAGTCATTTTTATATATGTAATAATAACTCTCTCTATGTAATAATAATTCCCAAACAGAAAAAGGCGTAAGTTATCTAAAATAAATGAAATTTTTGAATTAAATGTTTATTATTAAACAAATGAGTGCATTTATAACTTGGAATTTGGTGTTTTAAAGAATTTGGTGCTTTAAAGAATTGATCCTCCAAATTATTAATCATGACTTTCAATAATCAAAACCTGTTAACACTCTTACGTATATATTAACAGATAAGGCATAATAATTTAAGCTCTTTCAACTTTTATGTCATTTAGCTTCTTCAAAACTAGGAGAGTTATTATTACATAAAGAGAGTTATTATTACATATATAAAAATGACTGGGGAGTTATTATTTGGGAGTTAATATAACATACTACATAGGTATTGATGACTTTCACTAAACATACTTCTTGATAACACATTCATATGAACATGAGAAGTAAAAAAATATAGAGAACTAAGCAGTAAAAAAATGTAGTCTCCGCCAAATGGAGTTTGTAATTCACAACAAATAGCGGGTAGCAAAGTGGCATATGAACATTTTATTTTTTATAAAAGCAAAAAAAAAATTCAGAATGTTAATCTATTTTAAGCTACGTTTAATGCACCAACTAAAATCTCTGTATCTCCCATTCACAATATATTCTGTTAGCAAACAAATCTTTTGACATTCACAAAAAAGGCGCCAAAATTCTGCATAAAAAAAGTCACAAAAAAAAAAGAGTTAAAAAGTCGAATTATACCTATCTATGTACAATCCCAAGAAATAGCTGAAATTAGAGAACAAAAGACTCAGATAAGGGTTACAATAGTTAATGTGGGCAAGCAAGGATAAGGTGTCACATTTGCTCCTTTCTATCTTTTTTCCAGGTTGGTCCGGTGAGATCATAGCTCCTTCCTTTTCTCCTGGTGGTGGCGGTGGACGGTTCTTGCTCCTGCACTGAATAGTACTTTTTGCAGTGACTTGAGCACCAGTGTATTAGTATTCTGAGTAATAATGCACCCCCAAGGGCATGTCTATGACAGCCAGTACCTGTGTAATAATGCACCCCCAAGGGTACATCTATGACAGCCATTATCTGCATGATAATGCACCCCCAAGGGCATGTCTATGACAGCCAGTACCTGCCTAATAATGCACCCCCAAAGGGTACATCTATGACAGCCATTATCTGCATGATAATGCATCCCCAAGGGCATGTCTATGACAGCCATGGCCAAGGAGAAATGGGTTGAATGAAGGCTGGCTGTCATTCAATCAGGAAGACTGATGACACCATGTGGCAGAAATAAATTATTGCAGTGTCAACTTTGGATTGTAATCAGTATTGCAACAAAAGCATTTTTTTTTTAAATTTTCATTAGCTGTGCTAATTTAAAAAATAAAAAAAAAATTACTTGGATTTCTGCTATAGATTCTGTTGGTAACTTGCTTAATAAACCTTGTTCTGTCTTCCTCTATGGAACAATGTAACACATTCCTCACATCCTGTTTTGTTCAGCTAAAGTATCTATATTATGCAACTGCACAAAATGCAGCCCAAACTTGTTACAAACATCCTAAAAATCCATTGATAATATGGAAACTTCACTCCACATTCTGAAAACAAAAATGTTCTGGCAGTTTCCTCTTGGCTTCAGCTCAGTTTTCACAAGCAACTTATAAATACTCTGTTTAACACAATTTTCAGCATTAATACCTTAGGAGAGCAATTGTGAAACTGCTTCACCTACTGTAGCAGGACGTTAGTATCAAACTATCAAAATATCATAACATTAACACCTTGTGCAAATGCTGCAGTTTTACTTTTTTAAATGTGTAGAATAACAATTTTTAATATCCCTTACTTACAAGAACTTACAAATATTACCTATAAGATAGTCCTGTCCTGTCCTGATATTGTTGTCCTGATACAATATGAGTGAGCATTGTCACAGTGGGACAGAAAGTGTGTTCCACGCAGGACCACCAAGTAAAAATAAAGGGAAAAAAAGCTTGAAAAAAGAAAAATGCATCCACCACATCTAAAGACTAAGGAGCTACAATATATTACATTTTTGGTTCTGGGTTTAGATATATTTTATGTCACATTTGTTAAAGATCCTTATGTAGTTGACCTCCATCCTCTACAAAACACATTCACATGTGCAGCAGTGCACCAGTTAATAAAAATAACACGTTGCCACTAAGTAGATCAGTGTGTCAAATTCATTTTAGAATCTAGTAATAAATTCAGCAAAGGTTTTTAGAAAATTATAACTGTGGTTTAAAAATACTACATTGATGTTCTAAGATGTATTTTTAACTTACACTATTGCTGTAAAACTTCAGAGCCTCAAAATTCTACTATTGATTTTCTGTCTGCGGTAAGTTGCCTATACTGTATACATATGACACAAAAGGAATGAGGTGACATCCGCCAATCATAAAGGATCAGGTGATTTCTCAACAGTCTGTCCTGGATGAGCCCCCAAATTCCAACTCTCTGATAATAGTAACAAAGATCAATTAATGATCAATGAAAATTAGCAAAGTAAAACATGTCTATAGATAAAAAAAATGTGCATTTATCCAAAAACAAGTAAAATCCTTGAAGCCTAAGTAAACTGTGTTGCTACAATAAACTAAACACAATATAAACTAAGGGTTTTGATTAAACAGTATTGGTAAGTGGTGCATTGAATAAAAAATCTGTTTTCTTGTAATATGTTCTTAGCTTTCCTACAGGCTACATCAAAGTCTTAAAACAGATTTATAGAACAGCATAAGATGCAAAACACAATCAATCCAGATGAACCAGGCTTTGCAGCATTATATGTATATCGTTCAGCAGATTAAATAGGCCGATCCACATAGTAAACCAACATCTGCAATCTGGATGAAGCAAAATTTGTTGCAACAGAGTTTGCAGTAGTCACATGGGTTTCATTTTTCCACACGATGAGAAATTCTTGTTTGCAGAATTAAAAAAGTCCTTTGAAATCCAAGACGATGAAGGAATCACATTAGCCATTGTACAAATTTTTGGAAATTGCACAACTGATATTAGGGCTAGAGAAAGCGTGCTTTTTGTTTAATCTTCTATATTAGAAAACAGGTGATCAGTAGGAAAAGGTGCAAAAAAATATGGGATTCAATACAAAAGTCTTCGGTATCCCAGCTTATAGTGTAAGTCTCACAAATATCCAAAGTAACAGCCCAAGAGTTTTAGCTGCGTCAGGAAAGGCAGTATTTAGTTATGCAGGTGGGGTTACTTTTAATTGTATTTGTTAGTTCACAAACTGACACAACGTTTTTCGTGCGTTTTTCTTCTTCACAGGACACCATCTTCTGATTCACAGGGAATGGTATGCTTTTGAAGTTTTGGGGTTGACAAAATCTCCTTTTTTAAATGTTGCCTGATGGGGACACAAACAGAGAAGCAACTTTTAAAAGGAAAGTTTAAGGTGTACATAAACACAATCATTAAATATTAAATCTTTAGCATATCAATGTCATCTCAAAAGTCATCTCTCCCACTGCAGTCAGCTGCTGGGTCCCTTTTTTCAGCTTCAGGCTGAAAGTTTTCTGTGTATCCCAATGCTCAACATTGGTCCACAATTTCAATGCCCCTTATTACAGGTATTTATTTATTACTTATTTCAGGTACTTATATAACACCGTCATTTATGCAGTGCTTTTACATATATATTATACATTCACATCAGTCCCTAACCCTCAAGGGGTGTACAATCTAAGGTCCCTAACTCACATTCATACATACACATACTAGGGCCAATTTAGACAGGATCCAATTAACCTACCAGCATGTCTTTGGAGTGTGGGAGGAAACCGGAGTACTCGGAGGAAACCCACGCAGGCACAAGGAGAACATGCAAACTCAAGGCAGGTGGTGCTGTGGCTGGGATTTGGACCAACGGCCCTAGTACTGCCAGGTGGAAGTGCTAACCATTTAGCCACTGTGCTGCCCATATACTAGAAGTGTAGTCTTTTAGTATATGGTAGACAATGAATGTAAAAGGTTAATGACATATCTCCTAAAACAATCTACTATGATCAATCAGATAAAAACAGGACTTCTATCTGTAATGCTTGTGAATCACTAAAAAAGTGCACTCTATCCGAAGAAATGTGTTGGATGAAAATCAGCATTTTTAAGATTGCCTATGATGTACACCAGGGGTCTCCAAACATTCTAAACAGAGGGCCAGTTTACTGTCCTTCAAACTTTAGGTGGGCTGGTCTGTGGCCAGAGGGAATATAAAATGTCCTGGTGTCAGTGGGAACAAACAGTGTCTCCTCTTTGGTATGGGGTATTTGGTAGGGGCATGAATAGTGCCTCATCATTGGAACAGTGTCCCATCATTAGTGTCAGTGGGAGGAACAGTGTCCCATCATTAGTGTCAATGGGAGGAACAGTGCCCCATTGCTGATGTCCGTGGGAGGAGCAGTGCCCCATCATTGGTGTCAGTGGAAGGAACAGTGCCCCATCCCTGGTGTCAGTGGGAGGAATAATGCCCCATTGCTGTTGTCAGTAGGAAGAACAGTGTCCCTGCGCTGATGTCAGTGGGAGGAACAGTGCCACATCGCTGGTGTCAGTGGGAGGAATAGTGCCCCATCATTGGTGTCAATGTAAATAATGATGCCCCATCATTGGTGTCAGTGGGAAGAACAGTGCTCCATCGCTGAAGTCAGTGGCTCCCACTGCTGCTCCAGCAGTGCCCCATCGTTGGTGTCAGTGGAAGGAACAGTGCCCCATTCCTGGTGTCAGTGGGAGGAATAATGCCCATCGCTGTTGTCAATGGGAAGAACAGTGCCCCATCGCGGATGTCAGTGGGAGGAGCAGTGCCCCATCGTTGGTGTCAGTGGAAGGAAAAGTGCCCCATCGCTGGTGTTAGTGGGAGGAATAGTGCCTCATCATTGGTGTCAATAGAAATAATGATGCCCCATCATTGGTATCAGTGGGAGGAATACTGCCTCTTCGTTGGGTGGTAGGCATGGTTCACTGTTGTCATCAGTGATTAGTTTTGCAGTTCATCCTATGGCTCCATATTTTTTATTTTAGTTTCTAGGGGACTATTACAGAACAGGACCAAATGTTTAATGCACACATATCAACCAAAAAGTTATGCAGCCCTTAAAGTGGACCTGTACGCTAACAATGTTGAGTATAATTATTACTTAAAGTGACTGTAAAGAAAAAAACAAAACAAAAGACAGATGGGAAAAGAACCATTTCCTAAAATTCATGCAGTTCTTTTCCCTTCCATGCCAGTCATTTGGTTAATGCCAAAGCATTAGCTACACGGTCTCTGCTAAAGGGGCACATGGGTATGATATTAAGGTGGAGCCCACAATCCGTGAGTCGCCTGCACCCTAATCCTCTCCTTCATAATTGCTCTGGCAGTGGTCACCAGAGGATGGAAGGATTGCACAGATTCTAGTAAAAGTTTTTTTTTCACATTTTTCACTTTTTTTGCTTTTTGTACTGGCACTTTAAAGTGGTAACTATAATAAATGAGACTTTTTACGCCTTTTTCTGTAAATTTGAGATTTTAGACCAAACAAGACAACACCTAGGACTCCACGTTGCTTAAAGTGTTACTAAACCCAGGACCTTGCATTCACTATATCTGGTCTCCCACAATACAAAGAACATGGAAGTGCAAGTCTTTTAATAATATAAACTGCTAAATACCTTTTCTCATCACCTGTTAGAGCAGTCTTGTGACTTCTATCAGTGTCCAGCCAAGCACTGGTTAAAGCTTGTAGCAGGAGTTTTCATTTTGCTCTAGGAGGATGCAGAACCCCTGACCTCTGTCTCAACAGTGCTGATTGGCCCTATGCTGATCACATGCACTCTCTCAAGAAAAAAAAAAAACCTCTCTAGCAATACAGATCAAACTGAGCATGTGCAGAGTGACTCCACACAATATGTCTTATCAGGAGATAAAAGGTGGGCACTGGAAGAAGGGGAGGAGAATCAGAGAAGACAGGATCAAACAGCGTTTTTACATAATGCAGAGGATTAATCCCTTAGGTTCCACAGTGAGTAGAACAAGCATGCTTTACTACATATACAGACTGATTTTACTGTTGTGGGTTTAGTAACACTTTAAATGTTATTGAAGAACTCAACTTGTGTTGAGTTTTTGCCAAGCTCAGATGTACCCAGTTTGTTATTATGCCCACGGATGGGCTTGCCCAGAGAAAGCAAGCTAAACCATACAATATGATTGGCTGCTTTAAGCAACACACACACAATTCCTCCACTTGACTTTAATGTCTGAGGCTACATATTTTCACCATAGCTTTGTAAAACAAATTATTATTCAGGTCAGATGTCCTTAGTGGACCTTCTTACCTTCTTGTAGGCACTGTGAAGTTCTTGATGTGACCACATATTGTACAGGACAAGTGAGGCGGCTTTTCCAGCTTTAGACCCCATGGTCCTGAGAGGATAAATATTCATAATTAGATGGGATTTGCTGTCTCTTATGCATGCAAAATAATGAAATGTATATTTAAAGGGACAATATCATTTTAAGTGTCCTCACCCGTCACTGCTGCTAAGATTGATGAGTTTGCGGACACCGCCGTTTTGCAGGAGGAGCTTTGCGTTCTGAGAGTTGCTGCTGATCAGACTGTTGAGGACGTAGCACAGGGACGCGGCGGTTTCGTTGGCAATGTTGGAGTCTGGGACAGAGTCTGGCAGGGCCCGCACTAGATCAGGCATCAGTTCTGTGGCTGAAATACAGATATGAAAAATGATGATGAAAAATAAGACCTGATAGGGGTTTAGCGCGTTCCCACTTTATCTGTAACTAAAGACACTTTTTGGCTTTGGATAAACAGTACTTTCATTAAAAAGCTTAGTTGACATCGCATGGAAATGTGTTCAGTTTGGAATGTTTGACTTGTTTTTATGCATGTTTCCTTCCAGAATCTAAGACTCTCATATGTAAACAGACATCTACCCAAACCTTGTCCCTTATGTGTATTCATGGCTGTGATAGGCACTTTAGAGAATAAGCTCCTCTAAGGCTACTTTCACACTGATCCGCCGCAAAAAACACAGCAAAAACGCATAGGCGTTTTTACCGCGCTTTTCTGAGCGGTTTTAAAAGACACATGATTTAAAAACCGCACCAAAAAACGCTTCTCAGAGGCGTTTTTCAAAGTATTTTTGAGGCGCTTTTAATGGGAAGAGGCGTTTTTTGATTTCAATGGGAAGAGGCATTTTTTTGGTGTTTTTTTTTCAACTCCCCAAACATGCCCTAAAGATGCTGTAAGCAGGAGTTTTTACACCGCACCGCAAGTGCAACACCTCAGTGTGAAAACATACATAGATATACATTCACATACACAGAGAAGCGTTTTTCTTGAGCTTTTCAGGTGCTTTTTATAACGCAAAAACGCTTCAAAAACTCCTCACTGTGAAAGTAGCCGAACGATGGGAATACACAATTAGAAAATTGACTGATCGGTCATCCGACGACGAGGCGTTCGTACGTTGGTCGAAATCGTGGCCCTCATTAACCAATCTAAAACAATCGTTCGACGGGCAATACGTAATGTTGACGTCTTCCGTACAAGTGGAAGTGATGCAGTGTGCATGTGACCTTGTAGCCACAGCCTTCCGGCCAGAACGAGCGATTTATTACATTACCTATATATATAAAGAGTGATACATAAAATATAATCTGCAGAATTCTGGTTTTATTATCTCATTAGGCCAATCTACTTTTAACATTTGGATTTTTTGTTCGTGTTTTCGAAGATTCCTTGGACATAAACATCCGGGTCATCTTCTGTTTCCGCTCATGCAAGATAGCGCTTGATAGATTTTTTTCGTACGACCGTCATACCACCACATAGAAAATCGGTCGTTCGTATGGGAAACGACAAAATTTTTCTCTGTTGTTCAACCGGATTTTTTCGTTCATAATATCGTTATCAGTTAAAACATCCTGCTCATCAACGAAGAGAAAATCGTTCGATCAGTGGTTCCGTGAACTTTTTCATACGATTTTCTTATATGGGGCATAAGGCAGGACCTAGCAGGACCTAGCAAATTCAGTATTCTCTACATAGCACTGGTAGGGCTGCCATCTCATCCCTTTAAAACTGAACACATATTAATTACACAGATTCTGTGGCTGGTTAAGGTGGTAATTTAACTCGTTTAGAGCCTTGTCTTCATTAAATTAGCCTCAGAACCTGTGTAATTCATATGTGTTTAGTTTTAAAGGGGTGAGGTCAGGGGCGGACTGACAACTCATGGGGCCCCCAGGCACTAGGGGATCATGGGGCCTTTATGTCCTTGCCCAAACTCAAAAAAGCCCCCGGGCCGTCGGGCAGTGCCCGAGTTTCCAAATGGTCAGTCCGCCCCTGGATGAGGTGGCAACCCTAAGCAATAGTCCTTTAGAAATAAATTGTATGTCTGCCATAACTTTTCACTGACCGATATCATTGTGGAGAGAAGAATTGCGTGCCAAATTCCGCAGCAAAGAGACTGTTGTCCGCTTCACTCCTGGATCACTTGCAAACAGCATATTTCGGATGTGCTGAAGTCCATTCTCTTTCTGGACGACCATCTGAGCAACGGAGAAAGGCATCTGTGCAAAGACACAACACACACGACTGAGAATTCCAACAGATATTTCAGATGGGTTTAAGCTTTTGGAAAGGTATGAGTCTCTAACAATTTGATTTTATCTCTGGGGAAATGTGTTGGCTTCATGTTCAGGATCTGTACACATTCCCCAGCTCTTGAGAGGGCTCCAATTATCCCTGTCGAAGTTTTATCATATGGTGCAAAATATAGGAACAGTGGTAACATCAGAGTGGATAGCTGCCATCTTCCCCCTGCATATCAGCTGAATATACTGGGTGCCTGTTTTAAAAGGCACTATTATATGTGAGTGTAATTTTTTAATGTAATTTAAAAAAAATACTTAAATTGTTACTAAACCCAGGACCCTGCATTCACTATATCTGGTCTCCCACAGTACACACAACATGGGAATGCAATTATTTTAGTAAATATAAACTGATAAATACCTTTTCTCATCAGCAGTCTTGTGACTTCTATCAGTGTCCAGCAGAGCACATGTTAAAGCTTGTAGGAGGAGTTTTCATTCTGCACTAGGAGGATGCAGAACCCCTGACCTCTGTCTGGACAGTGCTGATTGGCCCTGTGCTGATCACATGCACTCTCCCAAGAAAAAAAAACCTCTCTAGCAATACGCAATAAACTGAGCATGTGCAGAGTGACTCCACACAATATGTCTTATCAGGAGATAAGAAGGGGACACTGGAAGAAGGGGAGGATCAGAGAAGTCAGGATCAAACAGCATTTTTACACAATGCAGAGGATTAACCCCTTAGGTTCCACAGTGAGTATAACAAGCATGCTTTACTGCATATACAGACTGATTTTACTGTTGTGGGTTTAGTAACACTTTGATGGTTTTACACTAAGGGATGCTTCCTCCTGTTATTTTTCTCATGAGAGAATTAATTCTTGCATGCTGCATATTTCCTAGACAACTGAATGGAGAGGACTGTATAGGGGTATGCCCTACAAGCGCTGTTGACCACACTAGTTGGTCATTGACATAGGGTGAGTGTGAGTCTATGTGGGGCACAACAGCACTGTTAAGTGGAGCACCATATCAATATTAGAGCACTGGCACTTTGCACCAATTAGGATAATATTTGGACTGGTTTTGTTGTTTATTTTTATCAGATATGATATATTAGAAGTTTATTTGTGATGTGCACAGTTAAAGTCCTTATGAGAGAAAGGCCAACCCAGCAGGGGCAGGTTGTACCTCTACAGAGGGGCCACTGCTTCTACACAGAGCGCAAACATCATTTTCTACAGAATGCTGGCAGGTGACAGGCTTTTCTACTAAGGCTGTGGCTGATGTTTAAAGAAAATAAACAGTAAGACTTTGCAAACCTATTGTTTTAATACGCCTGGAAACTATTTGGCTAATTTAAACTGACAGTTCAGGATTAGTCCGTCTTAATGTGACAGAGCACAGTCACGGAGACCAAAGGAGTAACGTTTTTTGAGGAGGGAGTGGTTAACTGTGTCAAAGGCAGCTGAAAGGTCCAGAAGTAGGAGTACAGAATAGTGTCCATTGGTTTTAGCTATACAGGCGTACCTCGGTTTACAAACGCCTCGGTTAATGTAATTTTCGGTTTATGAATGAAAATCCAATCAAAATAATGCCTCGGTTTACTATTTTTTTTCGCAATATGAATGGATGAATTGGTTTTCAATGCATTTACAAATTCTTTTTTAATCATGTCCCTGTACAGTACTATCCCTTTAAAGTGCACTTTATAAAGAGTTTTGTTTTTTTTTTACTTTTTTTTTCTGACCTTCGGAACAGATTAATTGGTTTTCAGTGCATTTACAAATTAATTTTTAATCATGTCCCTGTACAGTATTTATGCCTTTAAAGTGCACTTTATAAAGAGTTTTGAACAGATAAGACTTTTTTTTACTGTTTTCTGACCTCTGGAATGGATTAATTGGTTTTCAGTGCATTCCTATGGGAAACCTCGTTTCAGTATACAAATGTTTCGCAATACGAAAAGTCCCGCAGAGCGCATTAAATTTGAAAACCGAGGTACGCCCGTATTTCCTTTTTTTCCTAATTTACACTTATTGTTCGCTTCCTTTACGATATTTGAACATCAGTTCCTTTTTCGCACTGTCCAAAATTAAATGAAAATTTGACCAAAATGAAAGGGACTTCTGGCAAGAGCTTATATAATTTGCTGGCATCTGGCTGCCTTTAGATTGTATAACGAACACGTTTTGATGCCAGGAAATCGTGCTTACAAAGATCTAATTACGGAAAAAATGCCAAAGCACTGCAGCCTCTCCCCTTGTGACTTGCTGCAAAGTTCCAATGTTGCAGTCTGATCACTGAGGAATGTGATGTGTCAGATAAAAATACAATAACAGAGAAGTTGCAAGAAATCGAAAATTTGTGGGAATATTTTTTTTTTTTTAGTTTGTGGATGCATTAGCAATGAATGTTAAGGTCAGAGTTTTATCCAAGGTCTTCAGTAACATTCCACTGATATGGTCCAACAAAGAAATTCCTTTGTTACAAGAGGAATGCAGCTGGAAGACAACAGAGCCGTCAACTCTCCCGTACCAGGGAGTACCACATTGTGCTCTGCAACTGTTGTGATGCAAAAAGCACCATTTAATGTGCTGGGGTCAAGCTCCATGTCTGCTCTGAGTGATGGCCCTTTAAGCTTTAGCTAACAATAACATTTTAGTTGAAAGAGGCAAAGAAGAGGGAAATAGTGGTCAGGTGATCCATCAACCCCCCCCCCCTTCCCCTTGTCAGCCCTTTCTGCCCTTAATCCATCAACTACTCCACCTCTCCATTTGGGGCAGAGAGCAAACCATAATACATTATCCAGGTGTTAGTCTTTGGGCCTCTTAGTTGTTGCTTCTTTAAAACAAAGTATTAACTTAAACCAGCATAACATTTCAATCCAAGTATGAACACTGTGGTTGTGGATATCGATCTACCGATAGACTTCTGTACAACTGCCCTGTTGGATATTCCCGCTCAATCAGCGTCGCAGGCTATAGCCTGCAATGCTCATCAGTGTATTCTGATGGTGGGGAAGTCTCCCCATTATCAGAACAGAAAGACACAGTGGGAGTATTCCCTCATCCTCATCGAGTGTGGGGGGGGAGTTGGGGCAGTTTCTTGCGTTCAAATCACTGGTTGAATGGCCAAAAAAAAATGACTCTTCTATGGGCTGCCTTAAAGTGATGCTTTTTATTGGATAGCTAAATATATAACCCAAGGCTGGCAAAAAAATAAAATATGACTCCAACTTCATGTGCATGTTTACGGCAACTCCCAAACATGTTCTTTAACTGCTTCCTGCCCGCCCTATAGCAGAAATACTGCTACAGGGCAGCATGGGTGTGCAAAATCACGTGTATATATATGTGATTTTGCATTTCCGGGTAGGGGGCGTGCGTGAGCCCTACTCGCACCACCATTCGCGGCTGTCAATCACCGGGTCCCGGCCAGTAACGACTCGCCGGCATTTTCGAAGATCTCCGACAAGGAGACAGTCCTCCTCTCTGTCAGCTCGGGTACACTGCTCTGGATGGCTGTGTAAAGCACACTGACACAGCCCCCTAGTAAAACACTCCCTGCACACAGTTAACCCCTCATGTTAACCCCTTCCTGCCCAGTGCCATTAGTACAGTGTCAGTGCTTTTTTTTTTAGCACTGATCACTGTATTGGTGTCACTGGGGATGTCAGTGACACTGCTGAAAATTGGTCTGGTAAGGAAGGGGGTATAAGTGCCAGGTAGGCAAATGGTTAATAGCAAAAAGTCAAAAGTATTGTTTTTTTCTCAAAATTGTCAGACTTTTTTTTTTGCAGCGCAAATGCACAGGCAATCAAATACCACCGAAAGAAAGATCAATTTGTGGGAAAAATTTCATTTGGGTGCAGCATTGCATGACTGTACAATTGTCAATTAAAGTAACGCAGCGCCGCAATGCAAAAAATGGCTTGGTCAGGAAGGGGGGGAAATCCTCAGGAGGGCAAGTGGTTGAAGGAATTGTGTATTTTAAATGTTGCATTTACACAATGAAAGACATTGCACAGACATTGCACTGAAAAGAAAACTCAGATTTGTCCATGCACTCATCTTGTGAGTTGTCAAGCTGGACAATACGGAAACAGGATAGAAAGAACAATCGACTCATTTGAACTTTGGTCCTGGAGAAGAATATTATTTGTTCCCTGGACAACCCATACAATGAATAAATTATTATTATTATACAGGATTTATATAGCGCCAACAGTTTGTGCAGCACTTTACAAAATGAAGGTAGACATTACAGTTACAATACAATTTGGTACACGAGGAAACAGAGGGCCCTGATCCTTAGAGCTTACAATCTAGGATATCGATTTTGGAAGAGATCCAACTGTCTATGTCACTAGAAGCTCAAATGTTGAAGTTGCGCCTGTCATATTTTGCTCACACTGTCAGAAGAGAGAGACCACTGAAGAGGAAAATAATGTTTGGGAAGATTGAAGGAACCAGGCGAAGAGGGAGACAGACTACTAGCTCTGCCCCAAATTACATCACCAATCTTGTCTCCAAATATCACCCAAACCGTCCTCTCCGCTCCTCCCATGACCTCCTGCTCTCTAGCTTCCTTGTCTCCTCCTCCCACTCTCATCTCCAGGACTTCTCCAGAGCCTCCCCATCCTCTGGAACTCTCTACTTTAATCTATCAGACTATCGCCTACTCTGCACACTTTTAGGCGATCTCTGAAAACCTGTCTCTTCAGGGAAGCCTATCCTGCCTTCAGGTAATAACAGAATCTTCTATTCCTCCTACCGGTCCATCCCCCACAGTTATTACCTTTTGTACCAGTAGCCCCTCCCTCTTAGATTGGAAGCTCCAAGGAGCAGGGCCCTCCTAGCCCTCTTGTATTGAACTGTATTGTTGCTGTATTGTCTACCTTTCTATTGTAACTGTTGGCACTATATAAATCCTGTATAATAATAATAATAATTGGTGGTTGGATACATTGACTACAGCTGTGGGGATGACACTGGAGGATCTCGCCAGACTAGCACAAAGCTGACTTCTTTTTAGAGCTCTTATTTATCAAATAGCTAGGACTCAAGTTGATGGCACTTGTATATATAATGTTGCCCTTTCAGCCATATCAAAAGACCTGTTCTCCACACATTATTTTTTATTTTTACTTTTTGTATTGGCCCCCATAGCAGCATCCAGCTACTCGTGCCCCTTTTTTTTAACCAATAGATTGCAAATTGGGAAAAGGATCAGAAAAAATAAACAAGATTTGGCTCCCTTAGACTTTAATGGGGTACAGACATTTTGTTCAGGGTTTTCAGATTTTTTAATAAAGTGTTCCGCCAACATCCAGCAAATTGAAGTTTGCACGGTTCGCTCATTACTAGTGCTCACTACATTGTCGCCAGTTTTCATAGTTTAGCTACTTCTACCAGCATGTTCACTTTACAACAATGAACTTGTCAGTTGTCATTGTGTGACAGTAACTGAGGAGAGACAGTGTTATGTTCATTTTACGAGGCGCTGACAGAGGAAAGGTCACATCTCTCCCGGATGATTTGTTTTCTGGCAGAAAAGACATTTTATTCTGAAGCCCTGAGAAGTAGCAGACATAAATCACTGTGAAAGTACCGCTATTTTCCCACTATGTTTAGACTTCCACAGTTTGAGTTGCTTATGAACGCATTTAAAAGCGACAAATGTTTAATTTGGTGAGTATTAGATGCATTTTTACTATAAATAACAGGACGGAAAATTTGCAGCATTTATAAAACACATTTGTTGTTCACGTCCTTTATAATGCATTTTGTCCATTATTAGACAATCATTCACCTTTGATTGCTACAAAGACCTAACGTCTCAATATACCCCGCTCGTCATTGCAGCATACACCCTGCATCTTAAAGCGGAGTTCCACTCACGCTGTCAAAAAATAAAAAGTCAGCAGCTACAAAAACTGTAGTTGCTGACGTTTAAAAAAACACACACTTACCTGTCCCTCGATAGTGCGGTGTGTCTCCTGCAGTCCATTTTACCGGCCGTCTTCTCTCCCTGGGCACCGGCATATCCAGTGTGGGCACCCGGCTGTGACAGCTTGCGGCTTCACTTCCTGAATGGTCCTGTAGTCTTCTGGGACCTGTCACGTGTCCCAAAAGGCTGCGGGGAAGAAGAAGAAGGGAGGACACCTTCCACTTCCGATCGCCTAGCAGAGCGGAAGTAGGAGCGGGTACCTGTCAAATTCAGGTACCCACCCCCCCAAAGGTGCCAATCCTTAATGGGGAGCAGGGGACCAGTCTTTAAAGCGGAACTTCCCCTTTTGGGTGGAGCTCCGCTTTAACCACTTCAAGTCCGGACACTTTAACTCCCTTCCAGTCCAGTTTCAGCTTTCAGCACTATCACACTTTAAATGCCAATTGCACGGTCATGCAACACTGTACCCATATGAAAGTTTAGCATTTTTTTGAGACAGATAAAACTTTCTTTTGGTGGTATTTGTACACCACTAAGATTGAAATTTTTTTGCTATATTATTATTATATTATACAGTATTTATAAAGCGCCAATAGTTCGCTCAGCGCTGTACATTACAAAGGGGGACAGAACAATACCAATACAATGCAAAACATGAGGGAATTGAGGGCCCTGCTCTTTTGAGCTTACAATCTAGGAGATATATAAATGAAAAAGGCCAGAAAATTTGAAAAAAAGGTGTTTTCTTATAACATTTTGCAAATAAATAATCTTTCTTCATAAATCTTGGCCAAAATGTATTCAGCTATCTTTTTGGTAAAAAAAAAAAAAATAACCCAAATTAGTTTATATAAAAAAATTATAATTTTTCAAATTTTTTTTTCAATTTTTAGTTTATTTATTTATTATTATTATTTATTTATGTTTTTTTTTTTTTACATACTGTCACCCTAGCAGTACAGTGTCACCATAGTGACACTGTACTAATTGTGGGGGGGGGGGGTGATTTTTTTTCCCTTCCGGCCGTTTATTGGCATGCGCCGGACGGGAAGAGGTTAAAGAGATCATTAATTTCAACAAAAATCTGTTCATAAGATTTTATATGCATTTACTGTATTTTAGGCCTATTTTTTAACCTGTAAAAGCCTCTCTTGTGTAGATAGCTAAAAGGCCCAAGGCCACTTCTGGTTGCTGCCATCTTGGATGTGATGCCAGCAACCCCAGCTGACTCAGAGCTGTCACTCTGGTAAAACTCTGTAGTATTTACCCTCACTCCTCCCTTAACAGCTACATAAAAGGTTATATAAGAAGGTGAAAGGAGGGGTGAAGGAGCTAGGCCAGCACAGACAGTAATAAAATATTCCCAGAGGAGAGGGCTGTTATTGCGAATTGACTCTTGCTGGAGTAGTCATATTTCTTAGTAAGTTCAAAGGCACATTGCAAGGAAATAAAAAATCATTAATGGAAATACACTGCGAATAAGCATTTAATGATTTTTCTGAGCTTGCAATTGCAACTTTTTAAGTTGGTCACAAGGTCTTTTTAAAGTTGTAAATCTCATTAGCATATGCTGTCATCCTGTCACTATACCTGCAGCAGAATCACGTGATAGTTAACAGCATATCTTCTTCTATTCAAGACTGTTTTCAACACGGAAGATGAAGCGGGAACCCACAGAGAACTCCAGCATAGGATAATATGTAATATGTATATCTCTTTACAATATTTAATATCTAACATATAAGACATATATTATATTGAATGTAATAAACAATATATATAAATTCCTCTTAAGGAGAGCAGTCCTTACCGATCCGTTGCCGGCGGTGAGATTCTGGAGTGACCCCAGGGATGCTTCCTGCGTGTAATTTCGGGAGCTCTTGGCAATGAGTGACAGGTACATTCGTACAACAATAGAGTTCCACAGCCATTCCACCCCTCGTGGGTTGCTGATTTCTTCTGCTACTGGGGTGTCTCCCCATTGCTGAAAAACAGGAAAATTTAAAGTTATATCTGGGTAATCCAAAGACAGTATTATAATCATGCAGAATTGTAATGTTAATGAAAAGTCCACTGCAGGAAAACAGATTTAAAATGGTTCTAAAGATAAAGCATTTTTTTACCTTAATGCATTCCCTGCACTACTTGTTGAGTCCTCTCTTGATGCACCACTATGCCCAGCTGCAGCTCTTCTCTCTTCACTTCCTGCTTTCACAGGAGGCTTTGAGAGCAGTGGGAGCCATTGGCTCCTGCTGCTGTCAGTAAAATACTGTGATGAGGGAGCAGGGGGCGGAGCCCAGCCTATGGACACACAGCCTGGCTCAGGAGCATGCCTGCATGGGTGCCACTCAGCATTGCTGGGGGGACATCCAGAGAAGAAGAAGAGCGGACAGTGCCACCAGTTGACTTCAGAAGAGGAGTTAAGGGACTACAGTATACCCTATTTTTTTATTTGAACTAAAAAGAAAATAGGATTTATAATCAAATTATTAAGGAGATGTTTAGGAAACCCAACTAAATAACAACACAAAAAAAATTACAGATTGGAATCTGATTGGATAATAGAGATAATATCTCCAGTGTTCCATTTATTCATTTTTATTATTTATATATAAACCGCACTTTATTACAGAACAGGTTGTATCACAGCACTCACCTCTTTAACCTTCCTGCTACGACCACCAAAACAGCCAATGCTTGTGTCGCTGGGAGCCTCGTTTCCTGTTCTGTACATAGAAATACTTGCTGTATTGGGTTGGCAGCTCAGATTCCAACTGGTATGACAAGTTGTGCAAGATACACACACAGTTTTCTGTGGCCTAGAATGTAGTAATACAATGAGACAGATTATTAGCCTAAAATATTAAATTAATAACGTACTCAAAACTCCAGAGATAGCCATCCTACAGTTATAATACTGTCTGAAATGAGGGAAATTTAGCAGGTTTGTGAATTTGTTTAAATGAGTAACAGCTTGGATTAAAAGTCATTGAAAAAAACACTATCATTGTCATTCACAATTTTGGCTTTAGTGTGGACCAGTGATGCACAAGGAGCCCCCCGTGCAAAACCACTGATAGGAAAGATTCAAACTTTTTTTAACGTTGTTCTCTAATGATACCAGCATAATTATGCAGGGTGCATTCTAAATCAGTTGTAATCAGTGGCGTCCCTAGGGGGTGCAGGCCGCACCGGGTGACACCATCACAGGGGGTGCAGGACCAGGATGCCAGCAGAGCTTCTGGGCTCTGTGAAGGTCCTGGCCAGTTATTGGGGTGATCCTGGATTCCCTGCACAGTGACAGCTGCCCCCCAGTGTAGCGGTAACATGAGTATTCTAGACCCATGAAGATATGTATCCCCTGGAGCAACTGCGCATGTGTCGGTTACAGGCCAAAGAAGCCGATCACCGATCTCCAACTTTAGCACAGAGCTGCCACATTTAACCTATATGGGGTTAACTGATCTTGCAACCCATAGTGATCTGCGGTTCGCAGCCTGAAAGGGGTTAACTGTGGCAGCTCTATGCTAAAGTCGGAGATCGGCTTCTTCGGCCTGAAACCGGCACATGCGCAGTTGCTTCAGGGGATACATATCTTCACGGGTCGGGATACTCATTTTACCGCTACACCGGCACTGCTCCTTCATCTCTGGAGGGGTGACACCATGTGTTACCGCACCAGGTGACACCAACCGTAGGGACGCCTCTGGTTGTAATGTCTTTACATTTTTAGTTAATGCATATATATACAGTGAGGAACAGAAGTATTTGAACACCCTGCGATTCTGCAACTTCTCCCACTTAGAAATCATGGCGGGGTCTGAAATTCACATTGTAGGTGCATTCCCACTCTGAGAGACAGGATTTAAAAAAAAATTCAGGAAATCACATTGTATGATTTTTAAAGAATTTATTTGTCTTGCACTGCTGAACATAAGTATTTGAACACCTAAGAAACAGCAAGAATTCTGGCTCTCAAAGACCTGTTACTGTGCCTTTAAAACGTCCACCTCTACTCCACTAAATCTAACTTAGAAGCACCTGTCTGAGCTCTTTAAAGACAGCTGTCCACCTCACAGTCAGTCAGACGCCAACTACCACCATGGGCAAGACCAAAGAGCTGTCAAAAGACACCAGAGACAAAATTGTGGACCTCCACAAGGCTGGAAAGGCCTACGGGGCAATTGCCAAGCAGCTTGGTGAAAATAGATCAACTGTTGGAGCAATTGTTAGAAAATGGAAGAGGCTAAGGACGACTGTCAGTCTCCCTCGGACTGGGGCTCCATGCAAGATCTCACCTCGTGGGGTATCACTGATGATAAGAAAGGTGAGGAATCAGCCCAGAACTACAAGGGAGGAGTTGGTCAATGACATGAAGAGAGCTGGGACCACAGTTTCAAAGGTCACTGTCGGTAGAACACTATGCCGTCATGGTTTCAAATCATGCATTGCACGGAAGGTTCCCCTGCTCAAGTCATCACATGTCCAGGCCCGTCTGAAGTTTGCCAATGACCATCTGGATGATCCAGAGGAGGCATGGGAGAAAGTCCTGTGGTCAGATGAGACCAAAGTAGAACTTTTTGGTCTAAACTTCACGTGTCGTGTTTGGAGGCAAAAGAAGGATGAGTTTCATCCCAAGAACACCATCCCTACTGTGAAGCATGGGGTGTGGTAACATCATGCTTTGGGGGTGCTTTTCTGCGAAGGGGACAGGACAACTGCACTGTATTAAGGAGAGGATGAATGAAGCCATTTATTGTGAGATTTTGAGCAACAACTTCCTTCCCTCAGTCAGAGCATTGAAGATGGGTCGTGGCTGGGTCTCCCAACATGACAATGACCCGAAACACACAGCCAGGATAACCAAGGAGTGGCTCCGTAAGAAGCATATCAAGGTTCTGGAGTGGCCCAGCCAGTCTCCAGACCTAAATCAAATAGAACATCTTTGGAGGGAGCTGAAAATCCGTGTTGCTCAGCGACAGCCCCGAAACCTGACAGATCTAGAGGAGATCTGTGTGGAGGAGTGGGCCAAAATCCCTGTTGCAGTGTGTGCAAACCTGGTCAAGAACTACAGGAAACGTTTGACCTCTGTGATTGCAAACAAAGGCTTCTGTACCAAATATTAACACTGATTTTCTCAGGTGTTCAAATACTTATGTTCAGCAGTGCAAGACAAATAAATTCTTTAAAAATCATACAATGTGATCTTTTTTTTCAATTCTGTCTCTCAGAGTGGGAATGCACCTACAATGTGAATTTCAGAGCCCTCCATGATTTCTAAGTGGGAGAACTTGCAAAATCGCAGGGTGTTCAAATACTTCTGTTCCTCACGAGAGAGAGAGAGAAAAGAGAGAGAGAGAAAATAATCTAAATAAGAAGTACTGAAACCAACCTGAAAAAAATGTAAGAAGGTACCAAAAACATGTTTCAGTATTGTCCTGTCAACAAAATGTAAAAAATGTACATACCCCATGTGTGTGTATATATATATATATATATACAGTGGTGTTCAAAATAATAGCAGTGTGTTGATAAAAGTGAATAAAGCTGAAAATCCTTCTAATAGCTTTTATTTCCATACACACAAATGCATTGGGAACACTACACGTTCTATTCCAAATCAAAACATGAAGAAAAATATATCAAATTTGTGTTGTTCATCTAAAAAAATTGAAGAAAAGTGAACATTAGACTGTTCAAAAAAATAGCAGTGTTTGTATTCTTTACAAACTCAAACATTCACTATATAAACTGAAAAATGTTTGAAGATTTTGCTTTCCTTTGAATCACTTAATGAATATTTAGTTGTATAAGCACTGTTTCTGAGAACTGCTGTACATCTGTGTTGCATGGAGTCAACCAACTTCTGGCACCTGTGAACAGGTATTCCAGCCCAGGATGATTGGACTACATTCCACAGTTCTTCTCTATTTCTTGGTTTTGCCTCAGAAACTGCATTTTTGATGTCACCCCACAAGTTTTCTATTGGATTAAGATCCGGGGATTGGGCTGGCCACTCCATAACGTCAATCTTGTTGGTCTGGAACCAAGATGTTGCACATTTACTGGTGTGTTTGGGGTCGTTGTCTTGTTGGAACACCCATTTCAAGGGCATTTCCTCTTCAGCATAAGGCAGCATGACCTCTTCAAGTATTCTGATGTATTCAAACTGATCCATGATCCCTGGTATGAGATAAATAGGCCCAACCACGTAGTATGAGAAACATCCCCATATCATGATGCTTGCGCAACCATGCTTCACTGTCTTCACAGTGTACTGTGGCTTGAATTCAGTGTTTGGGGGTCGTCTGACAAACTGTCTCCGGCCACTAGACCCAAAAAGAACAATCTTACTTTCATCAGTCCACAAAATGTTGCGCCATTTCTCTTTAGGCCAGTCAATGTGCTCTTTGGCAAATTGTAACCTCTTCAACACATGTCTTTTTTTCAACAGTGGGACTTTGCGGGGGCTTCTTGCAGATAGCTTGGCTTCACATAGGCGTCTTCTAATTGTAACAGTACTCACAGGTAACTTTAGACCTTCTTTGATCTTCCTGGAGCTGATTGTTGGCTGAGTCCTTGCCATTTTGGCTATTCTTCTATCCATTCGAATGGTAGTTTTTTGCTTTCTTCCACGTCTTTCAGGTTTTGGTTGCCATTTTAAAGCATTTGCAATCATTTTAGCTGAGCAGCCTATCATTTTCTGCACTTCTTTATATGTTTTCCCCTCTCCAATCAACTTTTTAATCAAGGTACGCTGTTCTTCTGAACAATGTCTGGAACGACCCATTTTCCTCAGAATTTCAGAGAGAAATGGACTGTAACCAGCATGTACAACATTTGCTGCCTTCCTTCCTTAAATAAGGGCAATAATTGCCACCTGTTTTTCAAAGAATGAATGACCTCACTAATAGAACTCCACACCGCTATTATTTTGAACATGCCCCTTTTAATTAGTGATTCAATTACACAGAATCAGCAGCATGCATGTCATGACTGTTGGGTCTGTTGGATTTCTATTACTCTACTACACCTGCTAATAAATTATTTGCCATGTAGAAATATAATTTCTACCAAAAACACCAAAAACAGTGATTGATCAGGTTATTGATGTGTGACTGCTATTATTTTAAACACAACTGTATATGTACTATGAATCAATGTTTTATCTGATACCAAATGTGAAACAAGAAATGTCTCCCAGGTTTTGTGCCTGTGTTTCAATGATCTATTGTTACTGTAGGAATTACCCTGTCGTCTGGTTTGTAGTCAGCGATGCTCTTTCTGACATAATGTACAAGGGAGTCGATGAGGCCATCGCAGCCTCTCATGGCTTGTCGTCCCTCTGGGCCTGCTGAGCTCATGTTTCTGTGAAGACAATGGAGAAAACTGTCAGACATCCAGGAAACCAACTTAGTCAACACAGACTGCATGTACTTAACACGCTATCTGTCACACGTGACAATGCAAAATTTACATGTGTAAACCCTAACGGGATGACAGTTAGTTTGCTTTGTGCAATGTGTAAGATAAACATTTGCCATTTTCCACCATAAAATCCTGTTTTCATCTTTTCTCATCCTTTCTTGCATCTCAGTGCTGCTGATTTCCTCCATTCCCTTTCAGCCACTTCCTGTCTTCATGCACTTCAGCAATGTCTGCATATCCACACTTTGGATTGGATTCCTGACAGTGACAACATTGAACCATGCTTGTGAAATGTGTGTCGGCATGGCTGCTTATAGCCTCCATCAAGGGCACATATGACAGGGGAATAATACAGGCGCTCAAATTTGAGACAGTTGTCACCCTATAACAGGAAGTGCATGAACCAGGACCTTCACTGCTAAATCACCAGGGATTAATTTAATGAAAATTGCAGGTTTAAAAAAAAATGATTGTAAACAACTCTTGAAGTTGCATGAATATATTAAAGCGTATATAAGAGTTTAGGCTCTGGGTTTACTGCATTAAAGTACATGTAAACCCTCACCTTGTAATACAACCCATTCAGTTTATAATAGAAATGAAAGGCAAAACATTTGTGTATACATAAAAAAAAAAACATTATAAAATACCTTTTCCTCTTTCTTTTATAAGTCATCACATACCCTCTGTTCTCTACTGGGGAGGGGGGGAACACCAGTACACTAGTCTTCCCAGTGAATGGCTGTGCAGAGCGGAGCTCGTCAGCCCCAGTTTGATCAATTGAGGACAGCAGGCTGAATTCTCAGCACAGCTAGAGAACTGACCATGCTGTGCTCTCATGCCTAGTGTGGTCTGTTTTTTTAATAGGAAAGCAATGGGACTGGCAGGAACACCAGGGATTTCACACAAAGAAAGCAATACAAGAACAGGATACTTTTTCATACAAGTACAGGGCACAGCAGGAACATACCAGGAATATGAAATGTTGGGTTTACATATTCTTTAAAGCGGAGTTCCTCCCTAAAGGGAAAGTTCCGCTTTAATGCTTTGTTCCCCACTCCCCATTAAGGATTGGCACCTTTGGGGAGCGGGTACCCGAATTTGACAAGTACCCGCTCCCACTTCCATAGCGGTCGCCTAGGCAATCGAAAGCGGAAGTTGTCCTCCCCCCTCCCTCCCCGTAGTCTTCTGGGATACATGATAGATCCCAGAAGACTACGGGGCCATTCACAAAGGGTAGTGCTACTTGTGCATGTGCAGTGGGCACCCGGCTGTGAAGCCGCAAGCTGTCACAGCCGGGTGCCCACACTAAAGATGCCGGCGCCAGGAAGAGAAGACGCCCGGTGAAGCCAGCAGTGGTGAAGACACTGCTGGACTGAGGAACAGGTAAGTAGCTGTATTTTAAAAGGCAGCAGCTACAGTTTTTGTAGCTGCTGACTTTCTTTTTTTTTTTTAGCTGGAACTCCACTTTAACTAATTATTTGACTTGAGTAATAGTAAAAATGCATCATTATAAATAGACCACGCTCCAAAGACAGACATTCAGTGGGTAGATTTCACTCATTTTGAAGGTCTCTATGTATTTTCCCACAAATATTTTTTTTCGCTAACACGCATAATTCAATATTTGCCAGTTAGACACAAACCATCTTTGGCAACCTCTGGATGTGGACCTGTTTGGGCCTGTCGTCCATTACCAGTCCAGAATTTATGAGTGCCCCCATCCAGTAGGGGATGTTTGGCATGCCAGGACTATGTCCTAGGGACTTATGTTATTCTGGATAGAGATGACTAAGACATCATGATAAGAGGAAATGGCCAGGGAGCTATTAAGCACTTACATTCCTCAAGGTATCTCCAAACTGCTTAAAGCTAACTTTGAAATTCCAATTTTAACTCAGACATGCATCACTCACAGTCCAGATTTCACAGAATATCAGATTAGCAAAAGAGATGTGTGTGATTTGCCTTGGGGGAAGCTGGTGAACCTCAGAGGTCATCAGGCTACAAAACCACAAACTCAAAGCTTCCTTCTCATCTGTACCTATAAAACAGCTTACAAATCAGTAGATGTCAGATTTAAAGTGTTTCGCACCTTTGCAGCCAAATTTGGAAAACCTTCACTACATGTTAGTCATGTGTGCCCATTCACACAGCATACCTACAGGGTTATACATAGAACTCAATAGGCAGCTAATATTGATTATATTAACTTGCTGAACATTATGCTATAGGGACACTTTGGGGACAGTTGTTTTTAAGTGCATTAACAATGTACAACACATTCCTTGAAATATTTAACTCTTTGTTAGGATGGACAGTGCACAACTGACAGTTTACAAGTGATCATGAAGATCTGCCAGCACAGTCCAGACAGGGGAGACAACTAGATAGGATTTTTCAGAAAGTATAAAGCTAAGCAATTTGAAATACTTTTTAAAGTTATGCTATGTGAATGGGAACGTGTATGAAATATAAAGTAGATGTTATCTCAATTTGGTGATCCAATCAGGTCCACCTGTCAGTTTTTCAGGTGGACCTGATTGGAAGGTCCGTACATTCCTATGGACAGGCAGGTGTGAATGAACTTGTGTCCGTTTACACCCGTCTACCTCCGGGTCCGATCCGGTCCGTTAAAAAAATAGGAAGGGAATCCGCCCTCTTCCATTTAGTCAGATCAGAGAGTATTCGGGTGTATATGGACTCTGGAGCCCATTCACTCCCAGCCGCCCATAGAGCAGAGTTGGCTCTGTCTGTGTCATCTGCCCACTACACCCATATCTGTATATGGATCCCCTGCTGATCCCAGTGGAACCTGCCCTGTGTGAAAGGGGCCTTATTCTGAAACTGGTCATACGCTCCTAAAATTTTGTTCCAAAATCTTCATTTTCTGAATTTTCTTTTTATTGTCTGGTGGGGCCGAATTAATCAGTCAATTATTTTCAAGCACTGTGATGAGAAGATTCAAAGGAGCAGGATCTCGAACAAATGAAATTGTAACGAAGAATGCTTTTTTTTTTGCAGTTCAGGAAAAATTGTACATGTTGTAATGCACATGTTCCAAGCATGAAGGAAACCTTATTATATCTGGGATGCCATTCAAGTAGCAGGTCTGGATGACATTTTGAGGACTGTCAAAATTAGTTGACTTAGTGATATCAACAAAATGATCTGAGCAATGATTTTTCAGAATCCCATACAAAGCTTGGAACAAAAGTGTTTATTTATTTATTTGAGGTACTTATATAGCACTGTCAATTTACACAGTGCTTTACATACTGTATATATATTGTACATTCACATCAGTCCCTAACCCTCAAGGGGTGTACAATCTAAGGTCCCTAACTCACATTCATACATACACATACTAGGGACAATTTAGACAGGATCCAATTAACCTACCAGCATGTCTTTGGAGTGTGGCAGGAAACTGGAGTACCCGGAGGAAACTCACACAGGCACAGGGAGAACATGCAAACTCCAGGCAGGTGGTGCTGGGATTTAAACCAATGACCCTAGTACTGCCAGGCGGAAGTGCTAACCATTTAGCCACTTTGCTGCCCAACTTTACAGAGAAAGTGGTGCCACCATCCTGGCTGTGCTGTCTGGCAGTGATGACAGTTCACATATGTATACCTCAGCTGTATATTTCTAGTTTGCTTGGGGTTTACAGATGTCAGTATTTGATAGTGAATAGAAAGTAGAGCCTGGGGCTCACTGGGCCTGTGTGACACAAGCAAAACTTTGTGTAGCTTATGCAATGAGAGTTTATACTGTATGGAATGTCCAGATCATAAAACCTGGTCACAGAGTCAGACGTTTCCTCATCCAGGAACTCCTCACCTGTCTGCTGGAACAAGGCTCCAAGCATACACCACTCCCGACACTGCCTGCACTATTCTGTCAATCACTGCAAATTTGAAATAGCCACTGCAAGCTATGAAAGTGTACCTGTCTGCACACACACTGTGGAAGCAGCCAATTTGTACCTTCAACAGCGCCTAGCCTGTCTGGATAAACCTGAACTGAATGACATTTCGTTTCAAAAAGCATTGTGTATTGTAAATTGCTCTTTTAAAAAAAAAAAAAAAAAAAAAACACTTTTTTTTTTTTCACCCTTTGCTTCATCTCAGTGCTGCTGATCTCATGCAACCTCTTTGCAGCAAATTCATGACTACATGCACTTCAATGATGACTGCATGGCACTTCCTAGGGTGGGTTTCCTGGGGACAACAATGGACCATGTCTGTGTAATGAACGTTGAATTGGTCTCTTGTAGCCTCCATAGGAATCCTGTATATAATGCTGCATGTTGAAGTGTGTTTTCATTACAAAATATATGAAAAATATTTTTAAAAATACATTTCAAATATCCTGTATGTCTTTAAAAATACAAATCTACATTTTTGGAATGCATTTACAAATATATGTAAAAATATATGTTAAAATGACTTTTATATGATTAAAAAATCTGAAGAATGTACTTAAAAAATATATATTCTTAAAAATATATTTTTAAAAAATATATTCTTCAGGATTTTTTTTATTATATAAAAGTCATTGTAACATAGATGTTTACATATATTTGTAAATGCATTCCAAAAATGTAGATTTGTATTTTTAAAGACACAGGATATTTGAAAAATATTTTTCATATATTTTGTATTAAAAACGCATTTCAACATGAAATATATATATATATTTATTTATTGAAATATATTTTGAAATATATTGAATATGGCCAAAATTGGAGCATTTCAAATATATATATAAATAATTTGCGCTAGTAAATGTGTATAAAAAGAAATCATCAAATCATAAGTCCAGAAAAAAATATATATATGCCAATACCACAAAAAAAAAAATATATAAAAACTTTTAAGTGCAAAAAACTTTTGTGCAAAAAAAAATGTCTAAATATGAAAAATTTTCACCAAAAA